GACCCGATGAGTAGCATATTTTTTGGCATGAGCCAAATAGCAGAGACAGGACCAATCGTCAAAATTTTGGTGTCGATCATTCGATTTCATCCTGGACACTACAGAAAATGGGCTAAAAGTGTTAAAAACCGGAATTTTCCTTTAAGGTCCTACATGAAAAAAATAGGTCCAATTCATTCTGATTTATGGAGAACTAAACAAAATAAATTCATACCAATACAATATAGTCACATGCACTGTTTAAATTTAGGGATTCAGACATCTCTAAAGCAACTCTAACTTTGCTTATAATGTAAGCATTTATATATATATCAATAGCTATATATTGACCCAAAAAAATAATTTAATATAACTGAAATTAAGCTAATACTTGGGTCACATTGCTGCTTTAAAAAAACAACAACAAATAACCAGCCAAGCCTAATTAAGTTTCAGATTCCAGTTTTTTAATTGTTTTTATTTTGAGTACTGCAAGAACTTTACAGTTTTTTTTTCTATGCAAATTTTAAACAAAACACAACTTTTCAGCAAACAAAAGGAAAAAAAGGCTAACATTGGGTTATCTGTCTTTTACCCACTAGTCCACTAAGCTAATTCAGTGGCATTAAATTGGTTTAGGTTAATCAATGGTTTGCTAATGATGCTCTCCTATTCATCCTTTCTTTAAAGGTTTTTTTTTAACCATGCTCCTTATAATTTTATCTAAGCCTCATAAAATAAAGAGCAAGTTTTAAAAAACAAATGCCTGAATTTCATTACGTCAAAAAAAGCCAAAGTTTTGCTGTGTCACTTTATCCAGAGTACTTTAGGGGCTTGTAAATGTCAGATGGTGCTTCCATCAAGACAGGCCAGATAATAAGATTCAGATTATATCTGTCTTCTGACTCACACATCCCATTATGCAAAATATTTTTTACCCATTGCTCCTCTTTAAATGTTCCCATTTAACAGTTTAGCTCCGTCATTGCTTAGACTTGGCTGCCATATTTGATGTCTTTAAAACTGGTTGCAGCACAGTGATGGTTCACATTACCATGAAAAAGAATTCTCAATGGATTGAATTATGTGAATGGATCCCTCACAATGACTAATCTTCACGTTCAAGAGTAAAATGGCGAACTGGTGTAAGAGCTCTTATAAGGCTGTGTTCATTATTTCCCCAGCTGGAAGTGGGCAGTCAGCTTTGGAGAAAATGACTTGAATATATATTAATTAGTACTAATTTGTTTTTGTTTATTTTATTGTCAAATGTCAACATTCATGATACTCCACTAAGCATATAATTGGTCACAAACGAATATTAAAAATGCCTAATTATGCAATTTATGACATTTCTAAAAGGTCAATTTGACTTTGCAGTCTTCTCTGAAAAAAATCCTCATATTTAATACCAAGTATGAAAGAGAGCGTGATTATGGCTTTAATAAACTTTCTTAAATCCAATCCTAGATACTAAATTTTTCTTCAATCTGTGTAGCTACTATGAGCCTAGATAGACCATGGAAACTACTGATAGATTGGTTTCTAAGGCATTTAGAGACCAGATGTTTATTGGGAATAGCTCTTTTCCCTCATATTAAATAAAGAAAGCATCATTCCTGGCTTAATTGTTCTTTTAGGGTCAGAAAGTTATCCCTAAATAAAACTGGAGCTCTAAGATAGAAATTCTTGGCTGGATCATGAATGTTTCTTATGCTTCTGAGGTTAAAAAAAAAAAAAAAAAAAACATGCGACACACTTGGCATTTTCAGCCCTGCTATTATTGTGAGACTCGCTTTCAGTGTTGTTTACATCAAACTTCCCTCCATATTAAAATGAAAAATCACTTTGGAAAACTTAATAAAATAATCCCTGACAATTACCTTTCACTAACTCCCAGTTATACTCTGTTGCACAGTAACCCTAACCTTTCAACGTAGTTTTCACTTTATTTTATTCATTAATATGTATTGAAACCCTTCACCTGTTCTGCCCTATTTTAACAGCATTGTGTGCAGAGTGGTCAGCCAATGGAGCTCCATGGCATGACTACTGCTGCTCTGCTCTCTTTGTGTACAGATAGATAGATAGATAGATAGATAGATAGATAGATAGATAGATAGATAGATAGATAGATAGAGAATGTGACACGCATACGGTCCCACACAGATCAGGACATCTGGTCACATCAGTTACTGCAAGCACCTGTCAGCACTAAGCAGGTTACGCAATATGGAGCGCCGTAACATTATATTCAGAAGAGTCTGTAAATTTCAGCAAAATCTAAGTCTGGTTATCCCATTAAAATCTGCCACATAAAATGCAGGTGACACACTTTTTTGTGCGAATTTGTTTCTGAATGAGAAAGATTCAGTTAGCTGTTTTACTGTCTACAATGAATTTAAAGAAGCACGATGAGGTGAGAAGCTTCTAAAAGTAAACCTTATTATCTGTGACATGTGGAAAATCGATCAGGCCACGAAAGAGAGGGGGACTTTCAGCAGATGAAAGAAAGGCTAAACAGAATAGAGCCACGCAGCTCTGTTTTATTCTTTTATGTTTTCCATGTCTGCCATGTAACATGTCAAATGTGGAAATGCTGCCATCTTTTCAGCAATCTTTGAGCAGAAATAGGTGTCTAAATTTTTTTGGTAACGCACACAGAGGCAGCTGCTTTTTTTTTTCTAACACTAGCTGTGCAAAGTGTGGAAATTGCTACTATAAGCTGTTGAAGATTGAAACCAAGCTGTCTTCAGATATGCAGCCTCTGCTCTTAACATGCATAATTAACAACTGCCCACAGCAGGAAGGCTGGAAACATATTTTCAATGCTGTTCTTTTAGCATTATTTTCTAGAGTAATCAGATCTGGTAAAGATTAGTGTTAGCTCTGCAAAGCCAGAAACTGGCTTCGATTGGAAAAGTTCTGATTGATTGATCTCTCAAATGTCACATCTTACTTTGACGGAACATTCGGCTGCTTTGTTCCAACTTTTTTTCATTATTCTTTTTTAAGTGTTGAACCTTCGGCGTCTACTCTAACATTTTCTCAGCTTTCACAGGGCAGATATTTCAGATATCTTCAAAAAGCTCATTTAATTAAAGCTTTGTGCCTGAATGCCTTTTGAAGAGAGAAAACCCAGACAAGACAGGATGGAGAGATAACTTTGATAAGAGCCTTACTTCCTGTTTTCCATTCGGCATCTGATTGGAGGAGCTCTGGACCACATTTCCTGGGGTAAAACAGAAAACTGTTGTTTATTTTTCTAGCGATATTGGGTTGATTTAATCCTCTCTCATTGTTGGCTGTCAGTGTTCATTGTTGTGTGATTTTAAGGTTTAATCTGTGGATTTGGAGCAGAAAAATATGCGAAGAGATCATCATGCTTGTTGTTTTAGCCCCTATTTGTTGTTTATAATTCAGATTTTGTCACCCAGAAGGAGGCATTTCAGAGCCGTTATCAGAGTCACGCATGGGGTTTTGTATCACGCATACATATTTAAAGAACGTGTTTGTATGACGGTTATGAAGCTATAGATTTCTGCCTGTCACTGGAGGCGTTTGTGTTTGCATTGTTTGATGACTAAGACTCTTCCAGGCTTGTTTTCTTTTTGATTTTATTCTACATGGTTAAAACAGAGTTGAGCAATGGGAATTCTGACACATTTGAAGAAATAAATTAGATTTGAAAATCAAAACTTCATATAAAGTTTCCTTTTTTCACAGGTATACAGACTGTTTTGTTCTCCTCATTGTTGTTACTTGTTGATCCTGATGGGAAACAACAACAAAGAGCCAACAGTTGTTTACATTGTGTATCGTTTTTGTTTTTTTTACCTCCATCAGCTCTCATTAATGTTGACTTCGTCCCTCATAACTACTTTTCCAAAACAGCCTCTATTCTTGCTCTGGCTGCCTTTCTCATTGCGTCTTTGCGAATGCCTCTGAGCAGCCCCTGAGACAACGCAACCTGCGATTTTTATCTTTTTACTCCTCAGCATAGAGGAAGATAAGATTTACTGCATGTCTCCATGGTGAGCAACCCAGATTCAGAACCTGAATGATTTGGACCGACCGGCGGCTGCTCCGTCAGCAGGTCAAACAAATCAATAGATGAAAGCCCCACTCAGCAATACTGGAAACCTTTCATCTCCGTTTCCCTCTTTGAACAGGTATCTCATCACTTAGTAAATTGTAGATTTGGAGTTTAATATGTTATCATTCTGATTCTATAAGCATTTTTCTCTGCTATTTCTGTGAATGTGACTTGGATTACTCCTATTTATCCATTTTTTCTTACCCAGCCCTGGGTGTGTCCTTGTTGAACTAATCATCTCATCATCTTTGCTGGAGCGCTGTCTGATACTTCAAACACAGACGCTTTTCTAGAGAAACATTAGACTAAATTGAAGTGCTTTGATTCATTGCAATGGACACCTTTTTGGTTCAGTTGTTTTCTCTGCATTTTTCTGCTGGATTTTATTCTCTAAATATAAAAAATATTCTGTTTTTCTTGAGGATTAACCATCTGTGGTTAGTGAAGAAGTTAGATTATTTATGTAATCTACCAGCTTTCTGTAATAATTTCACCGTCAGCACATTAGGTCCTTCTTGTTGTTGCAGGCAGTGCTTCATACCAGAATGTATGAATGATTGTTGGAACCTTTTATTTGCCACCATGACTCTATGAATAATGGGTTAGCCTGCACTGTACGGTAATGTTTCTCTTGCAGTGTTTGTCCCCTGATGCCCATCTGACTGGTTAGAGTGGAAGCAAAGTTGACTGTGCTGCCATTGCTATATTTGGTTGTTGCCCCTCTGGTCAAAAATGAGACGATTTCAGCACAATGGAAAGAGTGGTTTGCTTGGGAGCTTCTGCAACACTAAATATAGCTCACAACGGATGAAAAAAGAGCCGGGCTGATTTGTCCAAACCGAGAGGATTATAAAGAGAGGCCAGCTGAGAATAGGCTATTTCAAAACAAGGATCAGAGAACAGAGCTGCTCACAATACCTTTTCTAACTTCCCACAAGGCAAAGCAAAAGTATGTATTTAGTAAATCTGTGTGTTTAGATTTAGAAGATGAAATGTATGCAGTATTAATTGGTGATGAAACAACCCCTCATGGACCTGTTCATCTGTCTTCTTTGTCACAGGACGCTGTTTGAGAAGAACCCGACAGAGGACCTAACCCAGGTTCAGCCGCTAGCCACAAACAGAGTGTCCAGTGACAAACTAGGAAAAAACATGACTGTGCTCTCGGTGCCAAGCAGCACGCTAAAGAACATCCGCCGCTACAAGGAAGACTACAACACCTACCTGCAGTCCGTGTCCCACGGGGTTAAGGACAGCTTCAACACCTGGGTTACTACAGAAAGGTAAAACACAACAAAAAAAACAGAAAGGCTTGGCTCTGCTTAGCGGTAATATTGTTATTGCATTAGCCTATATGTCCAGATTCTCTATTTTAACTCTATTGCCAAAGCCTTAAAATAGCTGTTTACAGCTAATAAAACCCCTTAAACCTTTTGACATTTGTCATCTTGTACCTACAAGCCTTTATTTTTATTATATTACTGTATTATAAACTATATGTATATTTATAAGCCATTTCAGTAACTCTAAAGTCCAATTAATATTTTTTTTCAAAGTTCTTACTAAAAAAAACTTCTCAAAAGCTGTAAAACTTGTACCCCTTTCCCACTGGCCGGAAAACCTGTTTAAACCCGGGAACGATCAGCCTTTAGTGGCTGTGGGAACAGCTCACTGATGCGTGTCTAAATGGGTCAAACGACTCGGCAAGCGACCCACGCTAAAATCTCCTCGGGTCTGATCGGCATGCAGTGGGAACACCAGAGCTGGGTTTACGGGTTTATTTACATCATACCATTGAATGCAACATACGGACGTCAACAAACCGCGCCAGTCGTGTCTGATCTAACAAGCCAAAACAACTCTGTTTACAATCGATGAACATGGTGCAGCACTGGTAATAAGGATTCAGAAAGAAAAGGGCAAAATAATAAACCACTCTTACTACGCCCTGGCTTCCTTACATGTTGCTCTCCATTGTTTACCTTCCTGATTTCTGTCACACTGGTAACCTCATCAATGCTAACCCAGCGTGATGGTGTCACCAGAGACACAGCCGTGGGGGCACAGAGGATGCAGCTTGCCAGCAGAGGGTTGGACTCAGCTGTTTTTTCCAGCGTGAAAGGAGCCAAATGCCGACTGTTAGCGGGTCGAACAAGATTGAAAAGCACACGTTAACCCGGTATTTTCAGTCAGAAAGAAGATCTAGTGACCCTTTGGAATAAAGATAACTCTTAAAGCTAAAGATTTACCAATAAAACTTTATTTCATTAAGACTGTTGAAAGTACAATTATTAGTCAGACATTTTAGAGCAGAGAAAAGATTAACATTTTATAAAGGGAAAAGCCAAGTGAGTAATTTCCATATTTTAAAAAATGAATGAAAACTAGTATCACTCAAAAAAAGGCAGCGTTTAAAACATAACGATAAAAAAAAAGAAATCTAAATCCAGTAATCCAGTTTTGAAAATTTCAGAGATTTGTTGCATATGAACAGATAATTGTTAAAACCAACCTTCTTCTCGGTTTTATATTTAAAAGCATTTGTTTCTATATGGGCTGTGGTCATAGTTATAGAAAACTATTGTGATGGAGGAGCCACAGGTTGTAGATTTCTGGTATTCCTGGTAACATTATCATGAAAAATAAATGAAACGTTTTCATCATTTGCACATTTCCTGCCATGATGTGAGTTCATGTATTACATGCCTATTATTAGTCCCATATCAGCAAACTAAAATCAATTTGAGATAAATTTCTTTTTCAGATCTGATTTAAGAGGAAGGAAAAAAATACTGTGTGAGGATATCCAATTATTGGGGTCTTTTTGAAGGCAGATACCAGGCACACATAGATTTTTACACCCCTTTCTTCAATCCGCGCAACATCCGTTCTGAGTGATGAGATGGTAATGAGCAGCGGGTGCTACTGTGCTGCTACACCACCTGGAAGATATCATTCAAGCCGTCTGCTAGCAGACTGATTGCTAAAAAGATCATCACCAGCATCACCAAAATATAGAAAAGCATACTACCTCTAAGCTCTAGTTCTAAGATATTGCTAAATCAAAGAAGAGAATAACACAGTGTTTGGATGAACTTCCTCATTCTGAGACCTAAATTACGTTAGTCTCACCCAACATAATTAGTGAAGAAGCATAGGGAGTTGTTCAGAGCAGCAAGCGTGGCTCAGAGATATTATTTGCAATTCCTATTAATGGCGGTTCCGATCAATAACTTTTCAATCTGCCCTATTTTTTGTGTCGATCTTTATAAAAACATTATTCTTTTTACTCTTTTAAATGTTGAGCAACACCTTATTTTTGCTTTCCTTGGATCAAAAATATTTGATGGGGTTTTCTTGGGGAGGCAGACTTCTTCAGCAGGATCTCAGCCCTCCCTGCTGTGATGTGTGTGTGTGGGTGTGTGTGTGGTGTGTGTGTTGACCCAGATAATGTTCCTACTTTGGCTTGCTGGGGGTTTTCTATCTCGTCTTCTAGACCCAATTTAAGTTCATTTATAAGGGTGGAATTACCCTAAAAGACACAGTGTTGCATCACATGTTTAGCTGGATTGGCTGCACATCTATTTTCAAGAATTAGTTTTTTTGTTTGTTTTTTTCTGATCTAAGCAAATCCTTAAATGATGCTTTTAATTCATATTGCATAACCAAAGCAAGGGCTGTGCCTGTGTTCTGGGTGTTACGATGAGTTATTCCAAATCACTGCTTTAATTTCACCGGGGCTGCATCTTTGTAGTAATACTGTGACTTCAGGGTCTCATTTTTTGCTTCATGCCGAGGTTATTTTATTGGGGTCTTCAGGCTATGACCCTAAGCATGTGCTGGAATAGTTTGAAATAGGAAGGGAGCCCTCTTCTGTATTCTGTTCTCCATTAGAGGAAAAGATTTATCCTTCGAGGCTGGTGAGTCTCTGCCACAAAATGAACAAATTTAAGTTTACATGGGGCCAGATCTTCTAAGTGTTTATGTATAATAACATGTGCAAACCTGATAGCTTAGGCAAAGCTGAATTACTAAGCAGCTGCAGCTGAAATTGTACCTGTGACAGTGACTACATTGAGCATGTTTGCCTTCATAAATATGCACAACATGTGCTGATCAGCAGAATGGACAGAAATCTGGGAGGATATGAAAAAACATTATCATGGATTCAGTTTATCAAACCTAAACGAACTGCAGGGAAAGTTACTCCATCTACATATAGCAGGTTTGAAAGCGAGAGGCAACACGTGCACAAATGTCTGCGATTGTTGTAGCAAGAGGGAGGCTTAGTTGTAATGACAGAGGATGGGGAGAGGCTGTACGCAACATATTTGGACAGAAAAGTATTAGTAGGGAAAATTATGTCTGAATCTAACAGTTTTACTGCAGTTAAAGCAAAATGAATAAACAAAAAACCAACCATAATTGGAAGTAAAAAAATAGTGGCATGTTAACTGACAAATTAACTAAATACTAACAGCCACCAGTGAACAACAAAATACCACAAAGCCTGTAGAGGGACTTAAAAGTGGGGAGAAGAATTTGAAAAAAAATCTGCCATTCATCCCTTAAATTCTGCGTTCCTATCTTGTTCCGATGTAGTTTTAAATAATTCTTCTTAATTTGTATGTAAATCTGACAGTATCAGAGGCACTGTGTCTTTTAGGGGAATTCCACCCTTATAAATGCACTTTGATGGGGTCTAGAAAACAGCTGACTGATAAACATGTCAGCTTTTCCAGGTTTTATGGTTGATAATTTCTCTTTTTTTCGTCCTCTTTTTAAATGCTTTTCCCTTTGTTTAATAGCTCTTAAAGATGCTTATATTGGAGTGAATTCCAAATATTGTTCATCATTATTGTCATTTATATTGTTATTAGTGTTTTTACTACCTTTTCAGAATCCTCATTTCACAGCTACCCCAATACCCAGTAAAACATGCAATCTTCTCATTTCAATAGGACAGTCCAAACAAGTTTTGAACCTATTATCCATTATGCAATTTATGTAGACTACAAATTGCACTTGCAATTATTATTTTTATTTATTCATTTTCATTTTGCACAAGAAAGTAAGTGCTCCTTATCTGGAGTCTTTAAGGAGCCTATCTTGTTGAAGAGTAAAGAGAGGATGGAGCTGGAAATGGACCAACATTTAGATACTTCTTCCGCAGTTATGGAGGGAGTGGTTCTAATGTCTCTTAGTGAAGTAAGGTTAGACCTAAAAACTAAAGTTCAACATTTTCCAGTCCCTGTACATTTTAATTCTCTCTTATTCCCATGAGATAGGAACCCTTATCAAGAGTGATGATGATACTGGTTTTTGCTCATTCTAATTTCTCAAAAATAAAACTAAAGCAACACATAAGAACAACATTTAACTGTTTTTTTCCATCCTTACTACAATAAACACTCAGTAATTCTATTAGATAGGGGTAGTGATATCACGCATTTATAAAGAACTGCTGCTGCATATCTAGGGTTTACTTTTATTTAGAAAGACGGAGAAGTTTGAAATTGGAATTATTTTTGGTATTTTATCAATTAATGGAATTAGTGTGAATTACAATACAGTCTCTGAGTGTGTTCACTAGAGAATGTAGATCAATTCCTTACCTTAACTCCGAGATCCCCACAAGGCTGCCAACATTTCCACATAATTGATTTTATTAGTGATGCTGTTCCTGCTGTGTACTAAACTCCATATTCTGAGTGGGATTAGAATGGTACCTTGTTGCTCTGCCTGCTTTGTCCAACATCCCTGCTTGTGTTTGTCCTGCAGCCTGGCTGAGGAGATCCTGTCAGAGGCCCTGGCTGACGTGGCTAAAGAGTTTCAGGAGGTTGTGGAGGAGTATGCAGAGGCCATCTTCACCTCAGAGTTCCTGCAGCCCATCCAGTCCCCTCCTGCTTCAGCTGTGAGCAGCTAGTAGGACACCTCAACTGTTTGCTGCAGTTTCTTTATAAATGAATTGTACTCTGCAAATGATGGATGTATGTTTTGATGGACAGCTACAAATATTTATTTTTATAGAATTTTATACATTTCAAAATATGTTTTTTCTTTGCAAGCAATGTATTTATTTTATATAGTAAAATTGTCATTTTCCTGTGATTTCAGCTATTTTTAAAGAAAATGCTGCTAAATAATTTACACAGGGAAGAAATGGTCTCATCACTCTTTATGGTCCATTTGTATCTGTGAAAGTATTCCTCAGGGAAAGTTAGTTTAGGGTAGATAAGCTTTGAGAGCCCGATATGACATTATAGAGGATTATACGATTACTGCCCTCCCTTTGCACTTGGGTTGAAATCTCCCTGAGGATTACTCACACTTCCTACTTTCATGGTGGAATACGGAAATGAATTATTCCATATGGTCTCCATTTAGAAATGTCTAGAGGGCAAATTTCATCTTGTGTTTATTTCTGCTGCTCCTTAAATTCTGCTTGTGCCTTATTCTCTAAATAAATGGGCTCAGTTCTTCACAGTCTTCTTCATTTTGTTCAGTGTGATGTGAAAGTATGTTTGAGCGCAGGAACAAAATGTATTTTTATTTTTTCATCATAAAGGCTCTTCTTTGGGGGAAGTTAAAATTGATTTAATTGCACTTCCACTAGTGCAATCCAGTAGTTCTCTCAGTGCATGTCAGCCCACTAAACTAAACAAAATATGGCCACTAGATTATAAAGCACACTACAGATAATTATGGACCGAATCAAACATAATTATAGTGAGAAGGGGCAATTTTGACAACAAAGAAAACAAGACGTATTTGGCGCACTTAGAAAAACTCTGAGTCCCTTAACAGCAACATGAAATTCATTCAGCCAGAACAGGAGGGACATATCCAGATGTTGCTTTGGACGGTGGGGACTGGGTTGCAGCCACATTCATACACCGACTGCAGAAATGAGTAGCTCCATCTTTCTTAATGGCTGTACTTGACTGTTTAACATAATACAGCCCACAAGCTTATCATTTTACCTCAAACAAATATCATAGGGATAGCTCAAATCATCACAAAATATGGTTTCTTCTCTAAAGACAGATGCTTATTCTTCAGGTTTATGAGGAACAAATGTATAGGACAAATAAAAATATGTAGCAAATGAACAGTTTTGTCTGTCAGTAGAAGGCATGCTTTCATTACAAAGTCGTTTGAAAGATTTGTGTTATATTTGGAAGCAAGTTAATATTGCATAGTTGATGTTTTAGTGAAAATAGAAACTTATAATAGTTTTAAAGACTAGTCCCAAAATGCAGTGCATAAGCATCTGGGTCAAAGCATTTTGCATTCTACTGTGGAGCAGTTGTCTGGAGCTACCGAATAAAGAGGATAGATGAGGAGGCACATTGGTGAAGAAAAAACATTTAGCTGGTTAAACGTCCTAGTCAAAGTCCCAACCTGCAAGGATTCTGTAGCAATGCATGAGACTTTAATGTTGACGAATGCTCTCCATCTATTCTCACTTAGCTTGGCTGGCTTTTAAACAGCTAAAGCTGGTAGAGAATGTTGTGGTAAATTTTTCATATAATGACCAACTGAACCTTGCTTTTCACATTTCTATGACTGAAACTCATGTCTAATTATGAATGAACACTGAATAGGTTCTGTTCTAACATGCTTCTACTGGATCTAATCTTGCTTATAATGTGATGTAACCTGATAAAGACGAGCTGTGTCCTTTAAAGCAGATGTCATAAATCATGGTTACAGCCTGAGAACAAAATGAAGGTTCACTCTATTTTGTATGAGCTCACTCTCTTAGTGTCTCAGATCATGATACAAGAGCAAGTATTTTACCTGTCAATGCTAAAGCAGATACAGACCTCTGCTTTGGACAGATGTACTTTACAACTGTTCTTATTCTTGCAAGAATAAAGATAAAGGCTGCTTGAGTGATGATCACTGTTCCCTTGTTAGTTATGGAAAAGATTCTTATCATTTTCCAATCAAAGACATGCAGATGCTGCAGCAGATTTTTAGATGCAGTAAGCTATAGAGCATTTTCCTTCCATTCTTTATAGTTATGCACTATTTTGTGTTGTTTATTACATAAAATCTGTTTAAAACACATGGATCTTTGTAAATGTAACTCGAAAATGTGGAAAAGGTTACAGATGCTACCGCCGAAAGACCAGAATTAGCAACTATTTTGCACCTAATTATAATTTCTAATGATTTGAGGGGTTAGACCTTGCCTCTGGTGAGCGCTGACTCATTTTCAGACCTAATACAAAAATTGGTCAGGATATAACTGAGTGCAGCACATTTGTGATGCTTTAATGGTGAAATCTATGTTGATAAAATATGTCACGATATATTTGACATGAAAGTCTTTTTTATTTTTTTTCAGCTGATGCTGTGTTTTCATTCCAGATGGATGTCAAGTCTTCAGGCTTATGAGTCATGCTGGCATCAAGGCTGGTCATTGTTGAGCGGTCTGTCAGCCAGCGCTGCTGTAGCATGCATTCTGATGACTCTTCTCATGTAGATGCGCTGCTTTTTGCTCAATCATTTTAGGATACATTTCCTTCCAGAGATTCCCAAGTCTTAAAAAGCAGTGGGAAAAGGCAATTTGTTGTAACAGACTTATGAAAACATTGGTTACATCTATGATCAATGCCCACTTGTTCACATTGTCAGTGACTGTCACAATAGGTCTGTAGTCGTTTCAAACATGTTTCCATTTTTAGATGATGGATTAAACTGTGACATGTGACATGTCCATATCTCATGCTGATGCTGATTTATGACCTAACCTGCCCTAAACATCCCTACACCTGTATCCTTGACTCACAATGCTCTTTGTTTTCTGTCCATGCAGTTAGAAAGTACTATGACTGTAAATGCACAGAAGGAAGGGAAATAAATGCAGATTACTATGGTATATTTAAAGTTTCCCATGTTTGAAGAAAAACAATGTATCATTTAGTATATTTGTTGTGATTTTCTTCAGTATAGCTTTGATGTGAAAGTGAAATTGTCTGGCCAAAGGGGAGCAGCAAGAGTCTAAAACTGAAAATATGCACCTTAGAGACTCCTTTGCTGACTGGCCAGTATGCTGCATTTTCAGACTCCTTAATAGTTTCTAAGATGCCTTGTGCTGCTACAGCAGATCTTGCCTCTGTTTTCCAAAAGCCCCGCAGTGGTTATAAACAGAGTTACCTGGGATAGTTTCTGTGCCCTTATACTGTACTTCATCAACCATTGACATCTTGCAATAAAGTTTTATTGTCCAGAGTTTAACACTTTAAAAAAACAGACTGTTTAAAAACAGATTTCCCCCTTTTTTATTGCAGGGATCGTTATTCAATTTAGGGTTCTCTGCTTCTTGTTTACAGTCGGAGCTTGTCTTCTAATGTATGAATATAGCTTTGCAAAAGCAACTGATTTAATTCAATTAGCGTTTTTCTTTTCTCTCCTGGACGCTGTCAGTGCGGTCATTTGCTGTAATCAGTGCTATCGGTCTCCCCGACTTCCTGGCCTTGAGGCCTTTTCAATTAGTTTTCCTTGGTGGAATCTGAGCTTACTGCTCTGCACAAGTAGTGTGCTGCACATGGCTTCCATGATAAAAAGGAACTGCTTTTGTGCATTCCCTTTGAGTTTGATAATGTAACATGTCCATCTCTCATATTCCAGGGCCATGGATCGGCCACAGGCGTTTTGCTACATCAATATTAATGTGTGTGGGAGTGTGCGCTTTCAGGGCTGTGGGATCTCATGCGTGATCAGATATGTGGATGCCAGGGATGGAAACAGCCGGTGCCACTATGAACAAGTTCCACCCAATGATGGCAAAAAATGTGAGGAGAGATATTTCACAATAATTTTGATCAAGTGTGCACTCAGATTTAGAGTACGGTGCAATATCTGCCTGGTTAAACAGATCCTCATGGGCAGCTCTGTGGGACAATTAATAGTGGGTTTAATTTTGCTATTCACAAATTCTATTTTAAGCCACAATACTCAGAGATCCAAGGTTTTTCTTTCCTGCTTTAGTAACTGGGACTGTATGAGAAAGGTAGCACCTGCTGTTGTAGTGATGGACGGTCAACAGGGGTGATGGCTCACACCTTCTTTCTGATGCTGTGAGCCAGTTCCTTTGCTCTCTCTCATCCCCCCAAATATCTGTCTGTCTGTCTTACTTTTTTAATGCTACGGCAAAAAGCTTTTATGTAATTTTAAGGGATGTTTATGATAAATCATCACAAAGTAATGTATAATTATGAATTGTTTCCAAAAAACATTTACAGGGTAATATTTCTTTTATTTTTTTGTAAATAAAAAACTATAGAGTGATAAGCATTCAGCCTGTCTGTTAGGGTATCTCTCTCTTAGCTTTGCAGACCAGAGGCAGAGAATTTATACATTAATTTTTCCATATTAGCTAAGCCTGGATTTGTGTTTTGTCACAGATACTTATAATTTGCTTTGGCTGCCCCAATCTAACAAATTTATATGCTTTGATCTAAACCATAGCACTCGCTCCAAGTTAACGGTAGTTCTCCACCAGGAAAGTTAATCTCTTTCTGTGTCTAAAATGGATATTGTGTTATAATTACTGTAATCTAGCTTTGTAATGGGGGAATTTGACTGAACACTAACCCTCAGTAGGTCACTGCCTCAAACATATATTTGGGGAAAAGTAGCCGCTGTGTGTCAAAAACTCTTGACAAAGCAGATGTAACCATGTCATCCGTAGTGAAGTGAATTGTGTGAGCTGGCATTTACTGCGACAAAAAGCCAGTGATTGCTCCTGCTTTAAAAGCTACTAAACCCAAATCAACCTACAGTTCTGTCATGATATCAGCACTAGTGCCTGGTCTGATTAATCATTTTACACACCTGCTTAGCTCCGCCCAGTTCTCATTACCCGTTTATCTGATCCACATTAATTTGTCTGTATTTAACCAGCCTTCAGACCAGTCATAAGTGCCAGATTACTTTGAGCTGTTGTTGAGACTTATTCTAGCGTTCCTGTATTCTGATTACCTGATTCTGACCCGTTCTGCCTCTTGACCTCTGAGCCTGTCTGTTCCCATTCTGATCTGTTTGCCTGACCTGTCTTCTGACTCCTACCAGATCTCTTCCTGTTTGTGTTCCTGGAACTGTGACCCGACTCCGTTCTGGATTCCCACTCGGCATATCACCGGATCTCTGACCTCCTGGCTCTGAGAACCGAGCACATCACTGACATTGGCTTTTGCTTCGCCCTCTGGATTATCTCTTGCCTGTTCTCCGACCATCGATACATCAGCGTAAATGCAGTCATCAATCCCAGGCAGTTATTTAAAGAGAAATTGTTACACAATGTCCCTTAAAGCGGTTTGTATCCTCCAACACGTTTTTCTTCCATTTTTCCCCCCAGGTTATGGTTTTCCTCCATGAATAACATTCTCATGCACCTCAAAGAGCAATATTTTGATGCCATGATTCCTCTCACTAGTGCTCGATTGATTCAGGATTTAACACACCTTTCACCTTCACCCTGTTTCCTATCAGCCTGTTTACTTTGTCTATATAACCAGCTCTCAGACCAGTCACTAGTGCCCGATTTTTAGCAGCCATTGGTGAGCTCTATCCAGTATTCCTGCAAACCTGCCTGCCTGATTCTGACCCGATTCTGCCTCCTGATTCTCTGAGCCTGCCTGAACCTTATCTGACCTGTTGTAGTCTGTTTTTGGAACTTTGATCAGTTTTCTTTGCCCTGACCTTACTGTCGGATTTACCTCTGGATTGTCTCTGGATTAGGCTTTGATTCTCGACCGGCTCTCGGATTCCAAACTCTGGTTTGTCTCCTTGATCATCCTGCCTGTCTCTGCTCTCACTGATCTGTCCCTTTGCATTCCCCTGGACCAACTAGTAACTGTCAAAGAACCTGGATGGATTCATGAATCCTAAGAGGTTCACCAATGATGTCACACACCAACCAGCTTCTTCAGAACCTCAAAGTTTGTCCCCAAACACCGATAAGGTTAATAAATCAAAATCCAACACTAGAAACATTTCCCTCTGTTTCTGTCTGGTCACTCAACAGTCCAATGTCCTTCCGGTTGCTGACTCTGGTCAATCCCTCCCGACCTGCAGCAGTTTCATATTCTAATAAACTGTTTAAACATCACTTGTTGTTCTTGTTTAATTTTGGGTTTTATGTTTTCCGGTCATTAAATTTAATCCCTCCATCCAGAGAACCTTCTTCTCTCTGTTTGCTTCTTGTTATTTTGAGTCAAGGTTAAAAACATTTTTGTACAGAACTGCCTTTGACCACTGAAATTAAATTGTTAACTGTGGTATCATTAGTTTACGTTTTCTGGTCTGACAGCTTCACTTGTTTTACTACAAATGTATTTGTCTTTACTTGCTTTCATTCTCCTGTTAGTTTCTTTCTATATGATTATTTAATTCATGTAAAGCACATTGAATTATCCTTGTACTGAATTGTACTATACAATTAAACTTTCTTTATGTTTTGGTTTTCCAACACTAACCTTCTCCCTAAAGGTCAATTTTGTTAAGTGAAGAAATAATGCTGTCAATAGACTCTTAGAGAGTAAAGTTGTGGATCTCTGCAGCTTGTCCAGAGTCACTGTGAGACTCTGGGCTGCTTCTCAGATGGATTTTCTAATGCCATTATCTCTCCATGATGAACTGAATGAAAAGATGTTTCAAGCTGGGGATATTGTTTTTAATCTATGATGCCCCCAGCCCCTTTATGCATGGTGTTTATCTCTCTCTATATATATGCAAATTTTAAAAACCAACTATTTTTGTTCCACTTAATTATTCCAGTAAAACATGCAAAGGCTTGTAGCTGGAGCAGGAATGAATAACAAACAGGAAGGTTTTTGGCTTCACATTGTTCAGGTACTGAAGGACTTAACAGAAAATAGATTAAAAAAAAAGTCCCCCAAAACAAAAAAAGAATAAGAGCAATAATTTAAGGTACTCAGAACTTGATTCAGTTGTCATCCTGCTGCTGTTTGCTACACTGTTTGCTGCTGTTTTTAGTAGTGATCCTAAAAACGTGAGGAGACAGGCAGCAGGAGCAGCAGGAGCAGCAGTCCGGGAATGCGCGCACCGCTGGAGGCAGTCGAGCTGCAGAAGTGGATCCTCCGTTTGAAGCAACTCCGGCTGATGTTTGCGGCGGAGAGGAGGTGAGAGGAGAGAGACGAACAGGAAGAGCTGGAGCTGGGGTGGGCATGACATTTGAGCAAAGTCTGCACAGAAACAACAGCCTGCAAAGTAGCGATGTCTGCGGCACGGCGCTCCACTGCACTTTGCGCAGGTGACTGAGAGCTCCTCTGTGGCTTTGAAGCCTCTTTTTTTCCTTCCTCCGCTGGGAGAGAATCAGGGGAGAGACGAGGCAGTGCCCGCCAGGTGCCACCGCCAGGAGAGGGGCGGAGGGACGCAGCGCTGCTGCTTAATTAACTGGCAGACGAGCAAGAACACAGCGGACACAGGTGCGCACCGGAGAGGACAACATGTCAAAGGAGACAAAAGGCAGAGGTAAGGTGGGGACGTCATAACACGGGTGGTCTCGTGCTAACAGGTAGACCTTTATGTCTCGCGGTGTTCGACAGCATCTGCATGCAAGGTTGCATGGATGGATGGATGCATGGATGGGGTCCGTGACGGAATGCGTGACAGTCCGGTCTCAGTCTGGTCCTGATCTGCTGAAACAGCCTCTGTCCTGTTTTCACTCCGAATCCCTTCAGCTGAAGTCAGTGGTGTCAAATGTTTCAACAGTGAGGTGGAGACAAGCCTCTCTCCACTGTCACAACACAGGGACACCTTTTAAGGGTTACAGTTATTAAAATGATGAAAATGAGTCATGAGTCAGGCTGATTAGCCATTGCAAAGTAAAAGCCCGCAAAACTGTAAAGGGAAATACAGAGAGCCATAGTGAGCTAAGAATAGCAGGGAGTTTTTCTATGCAGCTCATTTGATTGTTGAACTGGGTTTGCAGAAATTAGAGCTGACAGGACAACATCCAAGGGGCCCTTCAAGTCATGACATTTCTGTTGCATAAAGAGGATGATTTTGGCTCTAAAAGAAATGATTTTGCTGCACACAGGCCACCTGTTTGCATTGTGCCAATTCTATAAAGAAAGGCTCCACATGGAAAGGAAAGCATCTTCCTTTGGCTTTGCATGGGTTTTACCAGCTGCAGAAGATGCAGGTCCTGGTTTAGTGTTCTGCACATGGCCTCTGCGCTCTGACCTTTTCCACAGGCCAGGAGTAGACGAGGAAGTTTCCCGCAGGAATCAATGACATTTCAGATTATTGTCAGGCTAAGTGGTGACAAACCATTTATCTAGAGTGAGGGGATTTCATTTATTGCAGACATGGATTTAAAGCAATATCTTTACTTCCATACCAGGGTGGAGAAACAAACACTGGTTATTTTCCTAGGACTTTTCTGTAATAGACCAACATAAAGACAAGCACATTTCAAAAGTGGAAGGAATATGATACATATTTGGCTTGGTTGGTTGATTGTGTACTTTATTTACATATATATTCACCCCTTTTACTCTGATTTGACTCTTAGATTAGATCCAGTACAAACATTTGTCTCCACAAGTCAACAAACTATTAGATGCAGCGAAGAAGCCAGTGGTAACTCTGGAAAAGCTGCAGAGATTCACAGCTCAGGTGGGAGACTGCTGACAGGACACCTGTTAGTCTACCATCCCATAAAATCTGGCCTGGAAACTTGGCATTAACAAAGCTTTAGTTGGAAATCTAACGTTCAGAAAACACCATCCACCTTGTGAAACATGATGGTGATAGCATCATATGGTGAGGATGCTTCTCTTTCACTGGGCCCAGGAAGCTGATGGGAATATGGATGAAGACACTGCTGGAAGAAAGGTTTAAAACGTAAGACTGCTTTAAGACTTAAGGCTGGGGTGGAGATTTATGTTCCAGCAGGACAAGGACACAAAGCATGCAGACAGAGGTACAATAAGGCGGTTTAGAGCCAAGTTTATTCAGTTGTTAAAATGAAACCGTTAGACACATGAATTATTAAGTTAATTCTTAGATAAAATGTGAAAACTGCTGCTCAAAATTCCACTCTAATTAATATGACTGATTTTGGACTTTTTTTATACTAGAAGACAGATCAGATAATTTGGTTAAGGCGGAATTAATTTAAGCTCTAGCTTCAGCTAAATGGGGTTTTTTAGTACTTTTTGGTTTTTAAAAAAAGAAATAAAAATACACTCATGCAATGTGTTTTTGTTGAATGAAAGTTTTGAGTGTATTCATTAAATGTTTGTTTAAGACAAATTAACTGCACGCAGGGTATTCCTAAGGGATACTTTTTCAGATGTCAGCTTCCATGTCTGCTGGATCAATTTAAATCAATGAGGCAAACAGGAACAAATTCAGCCTAAAGGGACAAATAAACATTGTCAAACGGTATAAATCAAACTAAATTAACTTCATCAATTGTTAATTGATGGCAGGATAAAGGTTTGAAAGCAGACAGGCAGCATGGGAATTGGAGAAAATACAATTTATTTCAACATAAACACTAAAACATCTGAATCAAAGCAAAAACATATCAATAATAGATATAATAAAATATTTTTATTAGAAATAGATAGATAAAGTCTCTTTTGTTTAAGTACGCTTAGTATCCTTAGCTCCTGAAAACTGGTTTAAATGATAAAATCACTAATTTCAGAGGCTATCAATCTAATAAGCAGAGTGTGGCGAGGCACCCTGGCTGAAAAATGGACCCTTCATTTAAGATGACGGTGGAGAAACAGATGGTGAAATGCTCTATCTTTTCACTTGTGGTACAGCGACCTGAAACGCTGTAAACAATGACCAGGAGCGAGTTTGCCAGCAGTTCAAACACAACGTCTAATTTAAAAACCTGAATAAAATGCAATGTACTTTTAAAGAAAATAACACTGTTCAAGGTTTCTACTCAATGGGGTAGAAGTCTGGAAACATTTAGAGTTTGATTTTATCATTTTCTAGATCATAAGAATGATGTGACAAAAGACTGGGATCGTCTGTGCTCCTCTTGTGTTCAGCAAACATCAGACGTGCGGCCGACTATTTTTAGCAGAGAGGCTCTCAAAAGACAAATTAGCTTCTCTGGCTATATTGAAAATCCTTTTTTTAATCAAACAGCCGCAGCGGGATGTTTTCTCCCTATTACTCTTTTTTCATTCTTTTTTTTTTTTTTTTATAACTTGAGCCTTGCTTGTAAATATACCTGCTGATAAAAACTGCAGATTGAGGACTCCTATTATTTCAGCAGAGGTTTATGAAACAAGAAGTCATCTGTGCAATGTTTCAGCGGTCTGGTGGCAGCTTTGTGGCAACGGGCCGAGCCTGTGAGGTTATTGGGATTGTAGTCGCATATTAAACATGCTGTGTTGCAGTTAGCACCACTCTACTTCTCTTCATGTCTCATATATCACAGTATTTACACCTACGTTAGTTTTTTCGACTCTCACCAGTTTCACTTGTTAAGGCTTTTGAATTTTGCAAGTGTGTCTCATGCATTCTCACCCTTTTAAATCAAGAAAGAGGAAATCTCACATTTCACACTCCCGATTCAGCCTGTCTGAATCAATTGGTTTAAGAATTTCCCTAAATTTGTCTCATATAAAGAATTTATTGGTGCCTCCAGCAATATGAAAGCCTTAAAATAAATCCTCATTTTATCACATTAGCACAATATCTCACTAACAATTCCAAACAAAATATACATCTACCACTAGGAAATCAAGCTTCTCAAAGTACTACTGTCCTGCATGTTTTAGTTGCTTTCCTGCTGCAGAGCTGACTTGTATGAATGAGTAATTAGCAGGATTGTGCAGCACTGGATGTGAGGTCATGTAATTGTTTGATTCAGAGGTGCTCCAATAGATAAACATATAAAACATCCAGGGCAGGGGTACCTCAAGTAGAGGCTTGGGAACCTCAGCTCTGCAGGACTACATCAAGAGACTACATTTTCTCTGTAGGAAAGTTATATGAGAAGACTTGTCAATAAGTGAGTCACTGGTGATTTGGAATAAAAACAAGTGTTTATTAACTAAAATTTAAATGAGGCTGGAAGTTATAAGGTTTTTACACATCTTTACTTCTGTTGCCAATAAGTATTGACGTTGCTGCTTTTGCATGTGATCATGATTAAAGACGCTCAGTTTACAAAGCCTTTCTCATCTCCTTCAGGGACACAACTTCTTGTTCACATTACCTGTCTATCAAAGCAGAGGAGAGCTCCACTCTTAATCATCCTCATACTGAACGATAATTTGGGAAGAGTAATAAGGATTAAGAAATTATGTGAGCTGCGTTCAACAAAGCACCTGTGCTGAAAATAAAGCAGGTGTGTTGAACGAATTGATGGATTTCTCTAATCCATTTGAAAGGATTTTGAAAGCATGCAGAACGCTGTTAGTCACAATGTACAGTAAACCGCTCCCATTGTCTTTTAAACAAACATTTGGCAATAAAGGTTTGTTTCTAAATATATGTATTGTCTTGTGAATATCATAACAAAAACCATTTATCATTGAACCTTGTTGGCAATTAGGGTGTGAAATTTATTTACACTATTTATGAGCATCTTAGGCTTTTCATAATTTATTTCTGCCATTTTACTTAAGGCCAAGGCCTTTTTATTCCTCGTTTGAGTAAACATGAATGAACACAGATTTTAGATTTTTTTTTCAAGCAAAATGATTTAAAGGATCTGTTTGATAATACGGGGCTGCTCAGTGGAGCAGTGGGTAGCCCTGCTGCCTTGCAGCAAGAAGGTTCCAGGTCGATTCCTGGCCAGCGGTCTTTCTGCATGGATTTTGTATGCTCTCCCTGAGCATGTGTGGGCTTTCTCCAGGTACTCCGGCTACCTCTCACAGTCCAAAAACATGACTGATAGGTTAATTGGCTTCTCTAAATTCTCCTTAGGTGTGAGTGTGTGCATGAATGGTTGTTTGTCTCTGTTTTGCCCTGTGATGGACTGGCAACCTGTCCAGGATGTACCCTGTCTCTCACCCAAAGACAGCTGGAGATAGGCACCAGCACCCCACATGACTCCGCTTGGGATAAGCTTGATGAAAAATGGATGGATGTTTGATAACACCCTTTGGATTGATGTGCAATCACAGGATTGGACTAGTCCAAGAAACCATGTGATGATTTGAGGAAAAGAAATGTAGTTTGGCACAAGCCAAAGACATATTTTAAAGCTGCAAATTAAATAAATTGTAAGTTTAAGTATTGACCTGGAAAGTAAGCACCTGGTTTAATGCATGTTAAAATCTGTCTGACATGCTTAAGTAAAAGAAAATTGTGTAGAAGTTGAGGAAACACCCAGCAACCAACAGGACCCAAGCGGTTCATAAACTCAGAGCTGCTGGAACACCAGTTTTACATCATGACTGACTGAGATGGTGATGATCAACAAAGCACTTGACATGATGAAAGTTGACTAATTAGCAGCGGCCTTTTATGGTCAAGCCAGAAACGTT